TCCTAATACGGCAGGATGTTATTCACAGCCTTGTTACACTTAACACTAATCTCCAATCTGTTGCAGTGCGACTTACTCTGGGTGTAGCATTTACATTATGCTCTATGTATATTCCGCCTTCATCGGCACTTCAACAGGCTGATCTTCAATCACGAAACCATGTGTTATTATGGGTGACCTAAAAGGTCACAATCCACTCTGGGGCAGTACTAACACTAATACTAAAGGCAAAATACTTGAAGATTTCATTTCGAATAATGATGAGTTCATATTTAATGATGATTCAAGCACCTATCTGCATCCTGCAGCTGGCACTTATTCTTCTCTGGATTTGTCTCTCGCAGATTCTGACCTCCTGAATGAATTTGATTGGTCTGTTCATAATGACCTTTGTGGAAGTGACCACTTCCCAACTATTCTTTTAGAAATAACTCCATCTGATTCCCTATCGTATACAAGATGGAACTTTTCGAAGGCTAACTGGTCTTTATATCAAACTATATGTAAATCGAAACTGCGACCTGAATGTTTCAGTGATATAACTGATCCCATTCAAACTTTTGCTGACGTTTTAAATTAAATAGCTGATGAGTGTATACCAAAGTCCTCTACGACTCCGCATGTACGAAAACCATAGTTTAATACAGATTGTAGACAAGCCAGAAAAGCGAGGAAAAAGGCAGAGCATTATTTCCGCCATCATCCAACTGTCCATAACTTAAATACATTTAAAATACTTAATGCAAAGGCACTTCGTGCCATTAAACAAAACAAACGACAATCTTGGAGAAATTATGTCTCAAAAATTAATTCACGCACGCCAATGTCTCAGGTATGGAACATGGTTCAAAGAATTAAAGGCAAAGGTTCAAAATCTGCTGTTCACCATCTTAAAGAAGGTGATCATTTAATTACTGACAAGACTAATATTGCAAATAAAATTGGCGAAACTCTTGCCAAAAATTCTTCATCGGCAAATTATGTCCCCGAGTTTCAGAGATACCAGAAACAACAGGAAAAGACAAAACTTAATTTCGAATCAAATAACGGTGAAGAGTATAACGAAGCTCATGACACTGCAGCGGGTGATGATAATATGCATTATCAGCTACTGAAACACTTACCTGAACCATGTCTGTTGACACTTTTAGATATATTTGACCAAATATGGACGTCTGGAGAGTTTCCTCCTTCGTGGCGTAATGTCATTGTAGTCTCAATACCAAAACCTGGCAGGGATCATACAGATCCGTCGAATTACGGACCAATATCTCTAACTAGCTGTGTCTGTAAAACCATGGAACGTATGGTGAATAATAGATTAACTTGGTATCTTGAAACCAATGACCTTATAACAAATATTCAATGTGGCTTCAGGAAAAATCGTAGTACCGTTGATCATTTGGTATGTTTAGAATCCTTTGTTAAAAATGCTATAGTAACTAAACAACATGCTGTATCAATTTTCTTTGGACTTGAGAAAGCTTATGATACGACCTGGAAGCATGGCATTTTGAAGGATTTACATGATTTTGGTTTGAGAGGCTGTTTGCCTCTTTTTATATCACAGTTTTTAACAGACCGGCAATTTCAAGTCCGAGTCGGTCCAACCCTGTCTGATCATTATAATCAGGATCAGGGAGTCCCACAAGGCAGTATTTTGTCTGTAACATTGTTTAGTATCAAGATCAACAGTTTATCCAAGGTTTTAAATGATTCAATTGATGGATCATTATTTGTGGATGATTTTAATATTTCTTGTTGTGGTAAAAATATGCATACTATTGAATGGCAACTGCAGTTATATTTAACCAAAATAAATAAATGGTGTCTTGAAAACGAGTTTAAATTTTCTAAATCGAAAACTAATTGCATACATTTTTGTAGAAAATACAAACCGCATAAAGACCCTGAACTACCTTTAAATGGCACCCCTATCAAAGTCGTCAAGGAGGCCAAATTCTTGGGTCTTATTTTCTATTTATTATTTAACATTCCTGCCACATATTAAATCCCTTAAAGCTTAATGTTGTCTCCAATTCAAAGTGGGGAAGGGATCAAACTACCCTCCTTCACTTATACAGATCATTGGTGCGATCTAAACTTGATTATGGCTCGATCGTATATGGCGGAGCTTGCAAAAGCAACCTTAAACTACTTGATTCTATCCACCACCAAGGTCTAAGACTTTGTCTTGGATCATTTAGAACTTCTCCAGTTGATAGTCTCTACGTCGAGGCAGATGAGCCTTCTCTTACCCAACGCCGTATAAAATTATCTTTACAATATGTTACCAAACTATATTCTAACGAATCTAACCCTGAATTTAACTGTGTCTTCAATCCTCTTTATGAGGATTTCTATAACAAAAAGTCTTCTCTTGTTCTGCTCTTGGACACATAATTAAACCATTCATTGCTGCTGCCAGAATTGAGCTGGAGAATATATCTCCTTCTCGTCTTCTTTCTTCTCCTCCTTGGCAATTGGTGAGGCCAGACGTTGACTTAACATTAACCACATTTAAAAATCCGAAACTGATTTACAGTATAAACAAGAATTTAGTCAATTAAGAAATAAATATAATACATATAAATCCTTATTTACAGATGGATCCAAGGATGGAGGCGCGGTGGCTTGTGCCACTGTTATTGGATCCAGAACAATATCTTCTCGACTACCAAATAATAGCTCTATTTTCACAGCAGAAGCGAACGCCATATTAACAGCTCTTAAATATATAAATAAACACCGTAAATATAAACAATACATCATCTTTTCTGATTCTCTTTCGTGTCTTCAGGCTATTAAAAATCTTTCTTGTAAGCATCCACTTTTATTAGAAATTATTTAATTGTACAATGAGCTTGCTACTGGCCAATGCGACGTAGTCTCTTGTTGGTTACCCAGCCGCGTTGGAATACACTGGCTGATTTTGCTGCTGAGGCAGCACTCAACAAATCAATTCTTATCCCATACTCTGATTACAAAGCTAGCATTAGAAGTTACATCCGCGATCTGATGCAGAAGAAGTGGGGCACCCAGGTGGGTATTAATAAATTACATGAAATAAAACCCTATATTGGTTACACCTACTTGGGTGTGAGTCCAGATTTGAAGAGGTCATCATGGGACGATGTCGCATTGGCCATACAAGGTACACTCGCAAATACTTGTTAAAAGGTGAAGATCCTCCGTTTAGTATCCCTTGTGATGAGAGAGTCACAGTCAAGCATGTCCTGCTTGACTGTGTTGAATTCTCCATCATCAGGGATAAATATTTCAATGTTAAAACTGTTAAGGATCTTTTTAATACTGTTCATCTTCATTTAATTTTTGCTTTTTTAAAAGAAATTGATTTAATTAATGAATTTTGATAAATATGTGTTTTAATGATTGGTAATTTTGATTAATAACTTAGATTGTTAGTGGCTGTACCCTCAAGGGGGGTTGAAGTATCGTGAAATTATTGTCCCCCTGAGAGGGTACGTAAGTCCCAAAACTTTGAAAGTCAATTTAAACTTACCAGGATTTTTAAACGTAGTATTCTTGTTATTTTAATTTTGGCTAACATTTCTTATAATAACCAACGGCCTATTTTTATATTGTGTTGTCCTCTGTAGTAAAAATGTTTTAGATTTAATTGCTAGTTATACATTTATATCTGTGATGTTCTAGTTGTTTAACTGTTCTTTGTTGACAGGATTTTATAATCTATCATTACTTTTTGTTAATCTATATCTTGTTTGAGTCACGATATGGCTGCAATATTGCCAAAGTGACTTCAAATTTTAACTCACTCACTCAGTCACTCTTACAAGCAAGTGTCCTTCATGCCATTACATAGGACGACATTATCCCTCTTCATGTGTCAGACGTAACTCTTACAAGAAACTGTCCTTCATGTCATTACATAGGACGACATTATCCCTCTTCATGTGTCAGATGTAACTCTTATAAGCAAGCGTCCTTCATGTCATTACATAGGACGACATTATCCCTCTTCATGTGTCAGATGTAACTCTTACAAGCAAGTGTCCTTCATGCCATTACATAGGACGACATTATCCCTCTTCATGTGTCAGATGTAACTCTTACAAGCAACTGTCCTTCATGTCATTACATAGGACGACATTATCCCTCTTCATGTGTCAGATGTAACTCTTACAAGCAAGTGTCCTTCATGCCATTACATAGGACGACATAATCCCTCTTCATGTGTCAGATGTAACTCTTACAAGCAAGTGTCCTTCATGTCATTACATAGGACGACATTATCCCTCTTCATGTGTCAGATGAAACTCTTACAAGCAAGCGTCCTTCATGTCATTACATAGGACGACATTATCCCTCTTCATGTGTCAGATTAACTCTTACAAGCAAGTGTCCTTCATGCCATTACATAGGACGACATTATCCCTCTTCATGTGTCAGATGTAACTCTTACAAGCAAGCGTCCTTCATGTCATTACATCGGACGACATTATCCCTCTTCATGTGTCAGATGTAACTCTTACAAGCAAGTGTCCTTCATGCCATTACATAGGACGACATTATCCCTCTTCATGTGTCAGATATAACTCTTACAAGCAAGCGTCCTTCATGCCATAACATTGGACAACATTATCCCTCTTCATGTGTCAGATTAACTCTTACAAGCAAGTGTCCTTCATGCCATTACATAGGACGACATTATCCCTCTTCATGTGTCAGATGTAACTCTTACAAGCAAGCGTCCTTCATGTCATTACATCGGACGACATTATCCCTCTTCATGTGTCAGATGTAACTCTTACAAGCAAGTGTCCTTCATGCCATTACATAGGACGACATTATCCCTCTTCATGTGTCAGATATAACTCTTACAAGCAAGCGTCCTTCATGCCATAACATTGGACAACATTATCCCTCTTCATGTGTCAGATGTAACTCTTACAAGCACGTGTCCTTCATGTCATTACATTCGACTACATTATCCCATTTTTCTGTGTATTATATTACAGGATGTCGTATTTACATTTCGTCATAGTAAGGACTTATTTGTTGGCCAAGATTTTGATATGACCCTTCGATTGGAGAATCACAGCACTTCAAAGAGAACTCTTCCGATAATTATGGCCGCACGGACAAAGAATGACAACGGTGTGCCTACAACTCTCATCAAAGAACAGGAAATGGATGTAATGGTCAAGCCCAAGAGCAGTAAGTGTGCTTTCTCTAACATCTTGTGGGTTTTGTTGTGATCTTTGTTAGATTTCACTAGAACCTGTGAATAACCAGGTTATCATTTGTCTTTAGCAATCCATTCTTGTCAGCCTTGAAGACTTGGTTGATGCACGTCACCTTAGCCCAACTGTGTAGATCACTGCATTGTCTGATCCAGACTTGATTACTGACAGACCGTTATTGCTGAGTAAAGCGTCAAGCAAACATTGACAAGAATATTCTTCATTTCAACATGCAGACATATGTCTCCCTCCTCCCTTGTTCCTGTTGTTTATCCTAAGGAGAACTTTGATGGATTGTTTCTTCTCCGGCGAGTTTCATCAATCTTGTTAGTCTTCTTTAATCGTTTCTCAGCTCTTGATGTTCCGATTTCAAGTTTATGATCTCATCATTTTTGTGAGCTGCTAAATATAAATATACATATATATATACATGTATATATATGCTAACATTTGTATAGCGCCGATATCCAGCTCAGCACAGCTGCTCAAAGGCGCTTTGTTTTCCCCTCGTTCACTGGATGTCAATCTCAACGGCACATCCTATTGTCAATCTCAACTCCCTGGGGAGATACAACTCTTGCAGCCATTAGGCGCACCGAGTTATTGTGTGGCATTCCCATCCTTACGAGGTACCCCTTCACAGCTGGGTGGACTGGGACACATAGTCACAGTACTTTGTCCAAGTTTACTGCACATTGCTGTACCCGGAACTAGGTGTTTGCACGTATTCATGTGGCCACCATCTGGTCATATACCAATGGATTCCTGGGTTCTTTTAAGTGCACAGGGTTGTGTACTGTACACTAGGTGTTGTGACAACACTGAAAGAGTCTGCACACAAAGTTGACTCCAAGGTTTTTCACCTGGTGACAGGTGGCCTCGATCCCGTCACCTCAATTTGCTGGATCACTGGCCTGGCGCTTTAGCCAGTTCGCCCACCGCGCCATTATGGTACTTAGATTAGGTTTTGTTATATCCACATTTTTCTCAGGGACTTGTTAATATCTGTCCCTGAACCAGTTACAAACTATTGTACGACAACAGGCATCCCTTGTTTAATGTGTTTGCGTGCAGGTAAGCATGATCCTGTGCAGTTATGTAACATGGAAAAGTCCTCAATAAACGTCCAGTCAAGTGGCAGGCTCGTCTCCCTATACCCGTGTTCCACTCTAAAGAAGAACAAAACATAAGTGATAGGTATTTGCATGTACTAAAGCTACTACTTGACATTGCAGTTGTGCTGATCAAAATGAAAGTTAAAGCTGAGGACTATGAAGACAAGCTGAATGATCAACGCTGGCTGGAAGTTACATGTATGGCAACAGTAATTGAGACAGGGCAGATCTTTACCAAGGTGTCTGACTTAGAACTTCGTAAACCTTAAGCAAGGACGTTATGATATGTCTGTGTATTGAACAGAACAGAATTTATTCAGTATAAGGTCCTTGTGGCCAAGAGTACAATAAAGTTAAGTACACATAAATACATTTCAGTATCACGTGACAGTAACGTTAAGCGTGAATTACATATATTTCTAAAACATATGGCTATATTTTTAATAATTTTGACATTTTTGGTACTTAGAAGACTATACATATTTAGATGAGATGGAATATATTTGTACGAATAGCTGAATATTTCTCACAGTCAAACAAAACATGAAATTCATCTTCTTATGCCCTGATATTACAGAATTTACAAAACAAATTATTGGGTATTCAGTATAAAAATGGGTATTATGATCCTTTGACAAGGTGTTTCAACTTTGTGGTTCCATTATACATGACCAGATCGGTAAACAGGTGGCATGGGTTTATATCAAATCTAATGTTTATGGTCAGTACCTTGACATCAATAGAAGACAGAAAATCCACAAATGAATATTTTTCAGTGAAGTTTGAAACTTGTTTGCTTTGTTTCATGATCGCTATGTGCTAAGACAAAATGGCGGCCATAAGAACAGGCAATATTATTGGTAATAAGGTTTTTAAGTTGAGATGTAGTTATGTTACATCAGCTCTGTCTGAGGCCACCATATACAATTTGACAAAATCCTGATCTGACATTGAGGTCCATTTTAACATAGTGGCATTATGTTTTAAATTGATATTGAATCTTTTATAATTTTTCCAGTGTTGGACTGTTTCCCCCAAAAAAATTTAGGTGAAAGCTTATACTGCATCTAATTGTGTATAGTATATTTTATCTTTATAACATAATATAATTGGTTATTATAAATAATATATATGGTGTAGGTTTTTTTTTAGATGACCAATTTAGATTCTTCTTTTCATTCATTTGATTCAGTTTATTATAGACAGTTTTATTAACCCATTTTATTTGGTTTCCTTGTGTGTTCTCTGTCCATGTTGTTTTAATATTATCCTTCTGTTGTTATCTGTTAACCTAATCGTGTTAACCCTTCTTGTGTATAAGTATTGTTAATGTTAATCCCTTGTCTGCTATATACAAGTATGTACGGTGTTCATATTTCAGTCAGGGGCGGTGGGGTAGCCTAGTGGTTAAAGCGTTGGCTCGTCACGCCGAAGACCCGGGTTCGAATCCCCACATGGGTAAAATGTGTGAAGCCCATTTCTGGTGTCCCCCGCCATGATGTTGCTGGAATATTGCTAAAAGCGGCGTAAAACCAAACTCAGTCAGTCAGTCAGTCAGTCATATTTCAGTCAACGCCAACATGTCACTATGAAAGTGTAATACAGAAGTTGTTATCCACAAAGTTTTGGTTTATTTTGACACCTGTCAAATAAGTTGTCTTCCTTGTGTAAAATACATTTCCTTCATGAATACATCATAATAAATATATGGGATGTATCTTTGCATTGTCGTGCAACATACTATCTTTCTTCATTTTTGTGTTGATTCCTCCTCCTGCATATAGGTGGGGTGGCCCAGTGGTTAAGGCGTTCGTTCATCATGCCAAACACCCGGGTTTGATTCCCAACATGGGTCCAATGTGCGAAGCCCATTTCTTGTGTCCCCCACCGTGATATTGCAGAAATATTGCTACTGGCAAACAAGGTTAAGTTGAGCACTGTCCTGACCCGTATTAGCATGTATGAGTGCCACTCACTGGCGCTTGCCATTGTGAGCGAAAGGGCCCCAGGTTGTCTGCGATCAAGTGTAGTGCGATGGGTGAGGCGCCATGATCGACACCTTCTGCTCGGATGTGCCTCAGTGAGGAGATAAACCGGTGGCATTGCTAGCTTTTAACTGTGCCTGTTTTGTAAATGTACATTCTTTTCCATGTACTTAATAACATTGTATGCCACTACTCGGGTCTGAGAATGTGCTTACCTAACTTTGACATGTTTAATTCTCTCGAAATATATATCTATATATCCGAATATTATGGAGTTGTTACACCGACCACGTGAGAGTCTTATGAGCAGGGTGGGTACAGCTACGCGCGGATTCATTTTTATCGTCATGTAATGCACATGCACTAGCCTACATCTGCTCTACCTTTAACAAACCAAATGGGTTTGCTCATTGCCGTGCACCACCTACTTCTCGTAAACGCGTTCTCTGCGCAGGTCCAAATTATCCTTGTTGCCAGTAAAAGCAGCGTAACACCATACTCCCTCACTCCTTCTATGCATACTACACCAAAATCTGACCCAACATCTCCTCTGAAGCTGTAATCAATGAAATGGAAGTGTATCACTTCAAATGTCATTCCAAGATTTTGTGAAAGATAATTGTCTGAACAAATTAACTTAAATGTAAACAGAACAAACAACATATTTATTTTATGATTTATTAAATAATAACTGTACAATTATAGAAGTATATAACAATAAATGTAAGTCAATAGATATGGACACAGGTCACTGTCCCAGCACTGGCTATATGACAAGCTTGTTACAGATATAAAGTTGGTCATCACACGCCATGTGTAACACCCTGTGTTAGAAAGTACACGACACTAGGCACATCCTGTTGTATAGGTCACACTGATTAATGTCTTCATGGGGTGATATATGTCATACTATATCATATTATATATATCGCAATATCTGCATACGCCAGTATACTGATATAATGCAAACAGTCACCATGCAAACTGGCTCATTACAAGAAAACTACTCAACCATCGATTCAAAAGGAATAATTTATAATTAGTTTGAATTTTGTGGAGTGTTTTTAAACATCAAAATGATCAGTGGTTGAAATGGATAAATAACATACCAGATTTTCTGAAAAAAATAAATCCAGTGAATTAGAAAAATGGAATCTTTTGTGGAAAACATTTTTTTTATGATTAAAATCATATATTCCTCAAGGTTAGGAGACTTAAAGTTTTATGTATTCCACATGTAAAATTGTTCCTCTGGGATTTGTAAACCAAGTTATTACAAAAACACCTCACTGTTATCTTACATGACAAATCACTTCACTGCTGTACTAAACAAAATCTCATTCACTGTAATCCTATTTTTACACAGCCCACACACCCTGGCAAATACATGACATTCTTCTGGAATCAAATCCAATTCTTGTGAGGGCCCTACAACACAGGAAAGATCTCCAGCCTATCAAATTCCTGAGGTATGTCCCTGCAGTAATAGATTCTGTTTCCTAAACCAAAACACGAAACTATTTTCATAATAATTTCATATATATAAGCATATCAATCCTCTATGTCCATATTAACACAAATTAATTTTGCCTAAATTTTTGCAGATGCAACATTTAATCTGGTTATGAAGCAAACCATATCTCTATATATCTCTACAACAACCTCTAGCATGACACTGCTCTTTTATCTCTAGTCCTATCCTTGTTGCTACAGGACTAATCCACAAAGATTCATGACACATGCTTTCCGTTTAGCAATGAACTCAATGACTGTTCTATAGGCTCTAGTACCAAGTGAGGTCAGAATTCCCCCTCGTGGTCAGAATTAAATTAGTAAATATAATGAACCAACAATTCAGGATTTCTTTTTACTGTTTATGTAAGTTTGAAGACAATCCTGAAAACATGCATGGAAACAACACCTGGTTAATTTGTATCAGCTAGATATCTGGGAAAAACCATTTCAATATTTGTCTTGTGTTGGTCTCTTTTGCCATGGAAGAGTTGAGTTACACTGCTTTCAGTTATATCACAGCTTGTCAACAAAATATGGGCCAGAGGCCTGATGTGACAAATGCAACCCATAAAGACACTGCACAAAGACAACATGACAATCAAAACAATTGGGATTTGGGAACAAATTCATAATCATTGGATCCATACACAACTAAGGGACACAACTCCATAGAATTCCCTGTCCTTGCCCCTTGTGTGTCATAATGATAATGTAATAATTCATTACAAAAGTTACATCAGTATAAACCTGGCAATGTAAGTAAATCGGTACAATATATAAAGAAATATGTGGTAACATAATATGAATAGACTTATATAACAGTTGATAAGTGTGCTGTGAAAAACTCCAGCACATCTATATAGGTTAGATATGTATAAAACTGACTGTGGATCAGCAGGTGTCAGAGTAACAAAGTTAATGTCATAGAAGGCACATATGTAATATATTGATTGTAGAACAAGTAGCCAAGCAAGTAATCACAGAAATCAGAATTACAGGGTAAATACACATGTTATATACTGGCACTGGGGTGAAGTATATAGTTTATTCTCTTCCCCAACATGGTGACATGTTCCTGTGTACAAGTTAAGTTTAGCAACACTAGAGTGAGTGAGTGAGTTTAGTTTTACCCAGAGTTTTAGCAATATTGCTGCAATATTATGGCAGGAGACACCAGAAATGGGCTTCATGCATTGTACACATGTAGGGAATCAAACCCGGGACTTTGGCGTTATGAGCCAACACTTTAACCACAAGGCTACCCCCAGATATGATTAAGCAGACTATGGTAACAAAGGGCCCCATTCCACAAAGCCATCTTACTGCTATGATGATTGTAAGCCCATGTCAAAGTATAGGAGGTAAGCGATAAGATCGCTTTGAGGAATAGGCCCCAGATCTTGACATGAATTGGTTTCAAACTACTGAAGATATGATATGCATCTCCATGTTTATTTTGCTAAAACTTGATGGACCTGCGTAGGTGTGTTCAGGCTCTCATTCATAACATTGAACCGACTGACAGCCTGGGGATTTCATGTGCAACAATATCAGACGATAAAAAGTTTAAGTAAGAAAAAAATGATGATAAAGTCTTAAAACCCACCTTACTTCACACTCCTGACCACACATCCAATAAATAAATGACTATACTATTTATCTGTCTTAAAGTCATACTATTCAAATCAGCAAATATAGTATCCAAGTCAGAGATCTCATTAAGGTGAACAGCATCTCTCTCTTGTGAAGAGCCATAACCAAACCATATATACCTATTGAAATTAGAAATTAAAAATACACAAAAATTGACTGACATTTTAACACCACTCATACACTTAATGATTCGTATTTCTATCAGATCTTCATAATCCATGAAATATTACAACTATGTACAATAGTCAAACGACAAATCTGTATGGACACTTTGTACAATGACAGACATGAAATCTACACTATGGCAACTAGAAGCAGCTGTGTCTGGGTTTACTGGGAGAACACCAGAAATGGGTTTCACACATTGTACTCGTGGGAAATTGAACCTGGGTCTTTGGCATGATGAGCGAACGCTTTAACTGTTAGGCTACATACCGCCCCTAACATCAGAGAATGTTGTTGAATGGCATCTGATACGCAGGAATCACACAAGCCTGTAAATAGTTAAGCATTGGTGAGGAAAACTGGTGATTGAAAACATGAGCACTGACCCACAGTTTTATTCAGTCAACAAAAGTCCTGATCCATCTTCATCAGCTCTATCAACAGGCGTATGGGGCCATTTGTACCACCCAATCCACACAGGGATTGAAACCCTATATATGGACATCAATGTCACCTCATACAACCACACTGCATCACTTCAGGGAAGTCCACACGTCACTACCAAACCTACAGCTGTAACCACTGACTGCAAAAGGCGTTACTTTCTGCTAAACCACAAAATCATTTTCTTCTAAATACGTCTACATCTAACGGTCACAAATTGAGGTGTTTGGTCAAACAATGTTATACATTTTAACCATCAGTACAAGCTTAATTTGGACACTTTCTATTACGTTACTATACATATGTAAACAAAGTTTGATTAGCTGAGACCCATTTCATTATTTTCAATGAACAAAGCTAATATGTAAGGTGCATTTAGCTGCTCGAACACCCGAACAGTTAGCATTACATTTGCAAAATACCATATTTGGCAATTCTCAAATCATTAATAAAGACGAAGGACACCAATATACCATATTATCCACACACACACACCAAAAAAAAAAGATCAGGGGGAATAACTCCATGTTTGTTTCCTTATGGACCAAAGCATACATGTACAAGACACGTGCAGTAGAATGGGGTGTGTGGTAACAGACTTGTAAATGGGTCCTCAGGTGGGTCTAACTACCAGAGGGTACATCAACCAAGGCTTCCTTCATGGATGGACAAAAGCTTTCTGACTGCATGTCTCCCAGAGAAATGGTTATGATATTAAATGTGGATACAATGTGTACACATAAATGATGTCTGACACTCTTGTTGATTTCTGCACCAATAAGTCACCATTACTTCAGCAATGTAAGGCACATTCCTCTCAACCAAGGCATTGTCCACGTTAAAGTCTGGCTTAAGGCATTGTTCAACTTGGGTAAGGCATTATTGAACATCAGAAAGTACTTCTTCCAAGGTGTTATTCAGATTTCAAACAAGCCTAACATCCAGTCTCTGATATAAACATATTACACAGAAAAGAAACAGATCCTCTATTTCTTCATAAAATATACTAAAATCGAGCCCTAAGGACTTTCTTCATTTTCAGAAACCGTGGTAACTTATCATATATTCCAGACTTGCACAGGCTGTACTGGTATATTTGTTTCAATGTCAGCCCAGTTTCAAACTCATGTAAGGCATTACTGAACATGCAAAAAAGCATTACATCAAAAAACACTTCAAAGGTAGTGAATGCAGCAATCAGTAAGTTTCATGATGAAGGTATGAAGTTCTTGAAGGACTAAGATGTCCTGAATTGAAATACCCTGATGATATTTCATACATGGATCGAAGCATGCACTGGTGATATGACAAACATCTTCTCTGTTGCCTTGCTGACATAAAATTAGAAACTGCACCAAGTTACATATGTACAATATGAATAAAATAACAAATATATTGACTCTGTAAAAATAACATTGATACATTGCAGTGATATCAGGAGTATAACGATATGCTGATATATCACAATATGTCGATACCGATTGATACTGCAAACCTGAATATCGATACTGCAAACATGCATACCGATCGATACTGCAAACATGAATATCGATACTGCAAACATGCATACCGATCGATACTGCAAACATGAATATCGATGCTGCAAACATGCATACCGATCGATACTGCAAACATGAATATCGATACTGCAAACATGCATATCGATACTGCAAACATGCATATATCGATTTGCAAACATGATATCGATACCGCAAACATGAATATCGATTTTGCAAACATGCATACTGATACTGCAATTGTGCAGATCGATAAAGCAAACATGCATTATGAGCACTGCAAACATCTCCAAAGAATCTGCATAATCATCCTGCATCTAATACATCACACTTCATGACATCAATAAACCTCAATATGAAATATTATACTGCAAAATGGAGAGAAGTGTTATTATTGTCCATAAATCAGTGTTGTCCACCACACAATGAATGATTTTGTGTGAGAATCAGTAACTTTGTAAATGGGTGAGTGAGTGAGTTTAGTTTTACGCCGCACTCAGCAATATTCCAGCTATATGGCGGCGGTCTGTAAATAATCGAGTCTGGACCAGACAATCCAGTGATCAACAGCATGAACATCGTACTGCGCAATTGGGATACGATGACATGTGTCAACCAAGTCAGCGAGCCTAACAACCCGATCCCGTTGGTCGCATCTTACGACAAGCATAGTCGAACTTTGTAAATGGACAAATGTTGACATGTATCATCTTGTCATGTATACTAGTGGACAAAAATAACTGGGTCTATATTTTATTCATAGTTTTAGATAAGCTTTTACACCATTTTCAGCAACATTAATGAGAGGGCACAGGAAATGCTTTGTTGAGATAAGCAAACACTTACCCTACTGCCCTAGATAAGTTTGGAAAGGTTTTAAATATATAAGCTGTTATATAACAATAAGCTGGAATATATATGGGCATTGTGATCTTTAATATACATAATAATATGATCTGAAACCATCAAACTTTAAATTCGTATACTTCTGTTAGAATTTAAATACTTAGCAAATGGTTTGCTATAATTTCAGACATGCTCATTTCAAACTGTGTATATATACACAATTACTTGTGTCCAGTAGTATAGATATATATACGTTGACGGCCACATCAGTGTTGACAACAGGCTAATGATCTGTGACCTGACGTTCCTATGATGACGGCAACATCAGTGTTGACAACAGGCTAATGATCAGTGACCTGACGTTCCTATGATGACGGCAACATCAGTGTTGACAACAGGCTACTGATCTGTGACCTGACGTTCCTATGATGACGGCCACAATAGTGTTGACAACAGGCTACTGATCTGTGACCTGACGTTGCTATGATGATCGGCGACATTAGTGTTGAGAACAGGCTATTGATCTGTGACCTGACGTTGCTATGATGACGGCCACATCAGTGTTGACAACAGGCTATAGATCTGTGACCTGACGTTGCTATGATGACGGCCACATCAGTGTTGACAACAGGCTATTGATCTGTGATCTGACGTTGCTACGATGACGGCCACATAAGTGCCAAGTCTGCTCCTTCCTTCCTGAACACCGGCCCACCATTAACTGCTGTAGATCGGATAAAGATATTTCGACGTTTGTTCCCAAGCATGCAGGACACATTCTTTGCTACGTTGACTGTCAGTTCTTTTTTGTATGTTCTGAAAAAAATAGATAATTCTATTTTGGAGTAGAGGAAGTGTTAGAGTACTCAGTACAATTGAAATAATACTGATTTATTTTCAATATTTTCAGTTGAAAACTTAAAATTATGTACTCTACCTCTACATGGTGGATGAACACATTATAGGACCAGAATTGTTGGTTGAGTGAGAGACATGCTTAACGCTTAACTCAACACTATTCTTGTGTTACTGTGCCATGAAAGTGTGTTTACAAAACACCTTTGCCTTCTGAATCATCACCCAAGCACAATTCAAACAGAAATACAGTTTAATATGTGTTTTAATGAAATGTGAAGACTTTTAATGTTTGGGGAAGTGTTGAAAGTGTCAAACATTTTGATATCCTGAACTTGTTGACCTTGACCTTGACCTACCTGCGCCAGAAGGAGGCAAGTGACCCAACCAACTCCCCAACTCTCTCCTCATTGACCTTGCTCTGGAGACAGAGGACAAGGTCATTGCCACTGGAAAGGTGGATGACAATGAGCTGGTCTCGCTCTGGAGAAACAGTCACACCTGTTATCTGGACATGGAGACAATAAAGGAAGTTAAAACAGATCATAAAACATGAGGGTAAAAAATTCAACAAATGTATAATATATATATATATATATATATATGCAACAAAGTACACTCAATCTTTAAATGAGTGAGTGAGTGGGTGAGTTGGGTTTTATGCCTCTTTCAGCAACATTCCAGCAATATTACAGCAGGGGACACCAGAATTGGGCTTCACACACTGCACCCATGTGGGGAATCGAACCCGGGCCTTTGGCGTGACGAGCGAATGCTTTAACCACTAGGCTACCCCACCGCCCCTTATCTTTAAATGAAGATCAGCACAATGGCAAACTCAAATATTTTGTTCCACTGGAAAGCACCTTGAACGGACAATTCTACTGATATACAGTTTCATATTATATCCATAGAATTATCTCTTTGTTCATCATTTCATCTTCAAAATGCCATTGAAAGAAGTTGGTCACACCTTTCTCAACCATTCCCCAGCCCTGAAGGATTCTGTGGAACAACTGTATATTTACAACTGTTTCTTTTTGGGGAGCAACACATCCATTTCCACTCTCTATATAAGTCAATTCCAGGAGCAAGTTTAAATGTATGAACCTGAAGCCTTGAAATGGACACATCAATTGTGTAATTTAAAAAAACCCATGATTTTGACTGATGCTATGATAAATAATTTATGCTAATGTAAACAACAAAACATTATGATTCTTTTCATGGATTAATGTGTCATACAATTTGAGAAACAGTTTGAGGTTTTGGTCTGGTACATGTAAACCATGTCTGAGTGTGTATAGACTGTGACGTGGTGTAATAAAATATGTTCAAACCAAAATGACTTTCAAACTTCATAATAGTCAATAAAAATGTGTTATCATAATTACATATTCTTCTGCATAATTAAAATATTTAATGAACTATTTCTTCTGTGTAAATATAATCTTTGATAATCTATTTCATTAATCAACTCATCAATAAACTATGCCTCCTGTAGGTACTGGGCTGGGCTGATCCCACTTTCATTGTAGGGATGTGGAAACACCACCTATGTGCACTGAACCATTACTTAATGTGTCTCACAACTGGGAGTTCTCACAAATGGGAGGACACCGGTGTGGTTAGGTGTGGTGTGTGGTTAGGTGTGGTTAGGTGTGATGTGATGCAGGTGTTAGGATGTTAACCATGTGTATTGTGCCAACATACCAATAAACACCAACTGGAGCAAAACTGAGAAACAAACCTATGATCACTGGCTCCTGGTATTTCCAAGGGGAGCAACTCCTCACAGTGAATTGCTGTAACAGCTGTGCCACTGATGCTCATTCTGTTGGTAAAAATACATGACACTCACCTCTGTGATAGGTGTCCCCTTCCTCATGGCTTTGAACTTCTTCTTGGGGTCAAGTTTGTAGATGTATTTGTCTGTGATGACCACACCCCGGTCAGCGGTCTTGTTGAACTTGTTGGCCTGAATAAACAAGTCACATGCCTGTATTTCACATCTACCAAACATTGAAAGGGAAAACATGTACATCTTCACATATATGACTATATTATGTGTGTACATATATGTCCAAATGTAAAATGCCTACCTGTATTCTATATGTACCAATTGATAGAAAGTGAAAATATGTACATCTTCACATATATGACTATATTATGTGTGTACATATATGTCCGAATGTAAAATGCCTACCTGTATTCTATATGTACCAATTGATAGAAAGTAAAAATATGTACATCTTCACATATATGACTATAACATGTATGTTGTAGAGTGGGGGAAAAATGGAAAAAAAAATGAACAAAAAAATGTTACTTTGGCAGTGGGGAACAACTTGAACATATCATCAAAACATAAATTCTATCATTGCTGTTGTTGTCATAGTCAGCCTCAACATTAATGTGGTCGGACAAAGCAATCTTCGGCTCCTTGTCACACTCTTGCCTACCTTGTCTGAGTATGAAACTGCACAGCTGGGACGGTTGGGTGGGTGCTATAGGATACGAGTCAGGATAAGTATAAATGGTATTTCTACCCCCCCCCCCTCCTATATTTTACCTTATCCTGACATAAACCTATTGCTTTAATTCCACAGTTAGGATCATTCAGATCATCACCTCCAAACATGTGAGGTGTGAATCTTATTGAATCTGTGGATTTGGTAAGTTCGCTTAGCATTCAGATTCCAGCTAGCTTATGAACGATTAACATGTTAAGAGAATGATCTGTAATCTTATACAATCATTCATCATTGATGTTCTGATTTCTTATGAAAACAGAGGTACATGGAATCTCAGTCAATGTTATGATCGTTAAACAGAGTGGTTCTATCCCTCATCTGAACCTGGCAGTTGATTTTGGGCAATAAAATCCCTCTGGAGGCCAAGGTGCTTTGATGCATGAGTCTGTCTTCAAATCTGGTGCAGTGAATTCATTAGAATGGATCTCTGACATTCTGGTGGCTGTAGTTAAGGCCAGTAAAAACAGTACTTTCTGAGTCAGATGTTTGAATCCGGTTTCTTCAAGTGGTTCGTAAGTTGGTCAGATCCTTAAGGACTATATTCAAGTCCCAAGCTTTTAGTCTGAACAAACGTAATAATGCAATCAGTTCAGGAACTTCGGTGAACTTACCGTAGATAAGCCGATCTCATAGATAAGCTGACCCCCTAACTTGACCCTTAATATCAGTGTCAAAATGGTATGTTTCATACATAAGCCGACCCCCTGCAATGGGTTCCTAATCACGGCTAACTCAGACCACAAGACAACTGCCAGTTACTGTGTTGGATGTAAAATGTAAGTATGTTTGGTAAGAATAGTATCTAATAAAGATTTTACTAACCCCTAATGTGGGAACTTGTGTTTGTTTTATTTTTAATATCATAACAATCACTGTTGGTATCAACAACGAGACAGTAATTTTACTCATAATGTTAAAAAATGTTTACATTAACTGCAGTGACATCATGTGTCCCTCCGATATTTATAACTTTGGCCCGCATTATTCACAGCAATCACAACATATTGCGTCTACACGCGTCTCGAAATGAAGTGTAGTTGACTCAAAATGGATACGGATACATACTTTGTTTCACCAAAAGTCATATTTAGTGTAGCTGGATGATCACGTCAATAAACTGCTTTCGCAGTGGAAATAGCGTGATCGGTGACAGGTCAAATTGTTCCATGCGTAAAAACTACCTGACAATACACAAAAAATCTGTTGCATAACCTTTGTTATGATTATAAATATTTTACATTTACAGAGCAAAAGCTGCAATTAAAATGACACAATACTAGAATATATTTCTCTTTATAAAATAATAGTTTCAGATACTATATTTTTAAGATCACTGCATCAGAATTAATCTTGTTATGTTATCGGGTATGTTTTAACTCACTGGTAAAGGAACCTGTGGACTGCACAGCTGATTGCTATTTCTGGCGCTGTGTACGAGACAGTTACACATGGTAATCTTAATCCCTGCATATAAGACAATATGCAAAAACAAATTAGAACTAAAAGTAAATGATCTTGTCTAGTGACGTTTAATTGCAAATTTGACGTCTTTACTGACAAAGTTGTCTTCCCTTGTTTTTTGTTCACATGAAGCAATACAATGTCATTTTCATACCCCCTGAAAAAAGGTTTGATGAAAGTGTAACCCATAGATAAGACAACGACCTTCTACAGACTGCTATTTTTGGTCCTCAAAATTCAGCTTATCTACAGTAATATATGGTAACAACATCGTATTGCCTTGCGTGATTGAACAAAAGAAGACGACTTTGTCAGTAAAAACATCAAATTTGCAATTAAACATCACTATACAAGATTATTTTCCTTTTCAGTTCTAATTTAATATTTGCTAGGCATTGGATTACGATTAGTGTGTGTATTAGCAATCAGCTGTGCACACATTTCCCTGCGACTAACAGTGATTAAGTTAAAAGACACCCAACAAGTCTTTGCCACTAACATGGCAATGTCCCCCACCACAAATAAGCTCACGGTCACCCTGAAATGACTGGTGTCTGCCCAATGTTGGCTGTCAACATAATTGAAGACATTGGGTGCAACGTTTTATGAGATATTCCATTTATTCCAAGTTTGAAAAGTGGTCAAAGTGTCAAGGTGACCTTGAAAATAAGGTCATGGTCACCCAAATCGACTGGTCTCTGCGTAATCCCCCAATGTAGGCTGTCACCAAATTTGAAGACACTGGGTACAATTCATGAGATATCGCGACCTACAGACACTGCTGAATACATAGTCCTCCGTTGTGCATTGCAGCGGGTGACAATAACATAGCAAGATGAATTCTGATGCAGTGATTGGAAAAACATAATATCTGAAACTATTATTTTACCAAGAGAAATATTTTCTAGCACTGTCTCATTTTAGTTGCAGGTTTTGCTTTATAAAAAGGCTTAAATAGGCAGATGCAACATGATTGTGATTGTTGTGAATAATGCAGACCAAAGTTATAAAAAACTGACTGACCACGACCAGAAGATGAATGAAGTTTCTAGGTCGGCTTATCTACAGGACAATTCTTCACTGGCATTTCACATGTTGTTGTTCTTGTCCAGAAGATGAATGAAGTTTCTAGGTCGGCTTATCTACAGGACATACAATTCTTCACTGGCATTTCACTGGTGTTGTTGATGTTGTTGTTCTTGTCCACCCTGGCACCCTTGCTGGCATGAACATCAACATGGTTGGACAAAGTCCTCTTCAATACACTCATTTCACTGGTGTTGTTGATGATGTTGTTCTTGTCGACCCTGGAAAGCTCATTGGCATAAACATCAACAGGGTTGGACAAAGTCCTCTTCAATACACTCATTTCACTGGTGTTGTTGATGATGTTGTTCTTGTCGACCCTGGAAAGCTCATTGGCATAAACATCAACAGGGTTGGACAAAGTCCTCTTCAATACACTCATTTCACTGGTGTTGTTGATGATGTTGTTCTTGTCGACCCTGGAAAGCTCATTGGCATAAACATCAACAGGGTTGGACAAAGTCCTCTTCAATACACTCATTTCACTGGCATTTCACTGGTGGAATTGTTGATGATGTTGTTGCTGATGTCGACCCTGGAAAGCTCATTGGCACAAACATCAACAGGGTTGGACAAAGTCCTCTTCAATACACTCATTTCACTGGTGGTGTTGATGTTGTTGTTGATGTTGTTGTCGACCCTGGAAAGCTCATTGGCATAAACATGAACAGGGTTGGACTAAGTCCTCTCCAATATACTCATTTCACTGGTGGTGTTGATGTTGATGTTGTCCCTGTCATCCCCGTTGGTATCAACTCCTGACAGAATCTTCTTCAATACCTGCACTCTATTGTTGCTGTCACTGTTGTTCTTGTTTCTTTCAACCCTGGCGGCCTAAATGTCAACATGGTCATACAAAGCCATCTTCAATTCATGCATTATGTTACTCTTGTACTAGTCGGCCCTGTCATCATTGTTGGTATCTTCTGTATCTTCAAGGCTCACATTTTGGTAAACCTACATCTGGATCTATCCTTGTGTGTCTTGCCGTCATGGATTACCTGCCCTTGACAACACGTATCTATCATGGCAGCATGTATCTATCATTGTTGGTATCTTCTGTATCTTCAAGGCTCACATTTTGGTAAACCTACATCTGGATCTATCCTTGTGTGTCTTGCCATCATGGATTACCTGACCTTGACAACACGTATCTATCATGGCAGCATGTATCTATCATTGTTGGTATCTTCTGTATCTTCAAGGCTCACATTTTGGTAAACCTACATCTGGATCTCTTCTTGTGTGTCTTGCCTTCATGGATTACCTGCTCTTGACAACACATATCTATCATGGCAGCATGTATCTATCATTGTTGGTATCTTCTGTATCTTCAAGGCTCACATTTTGGTAAACCTACATCTGGATCTATCCTTGTGTGTCTTGCCATCATGGATTACCTGCCCCTGACAACACATATCTATCATGGCAGCATGTATCTATCATTGTTGGTATCTTCTGTATCTTCAAGGCTCACATTTTGGTAAACCTACATCTGGATCTATTCTTGTGTGTCTTGCCTTCATGGATTACCTGCCCTTGACAACACATATCTATCATGGCAGCATGTATCTATCATTGTTGGTATCTTCTGTATCTTCAAGGCTCACATTTTGGTAAACCTACATCTGGATCTATCCTTGTGTGTCTTGCCATCATGGATTACCTGCCCTTGACAACACGTATCTATCATGGCAGCATGTATCTATCATTGATGGTATCTTCTGTATCTTCAAGGCTCACATTTTGGTAAACCTACATCTGGATCTATCCTTGTGTGTCTTGCCATCATGGATTACCTGCCCTTGACAACACATATCTATCATGGCAGCATGTATCTATCATTGTTGGTATCTTCAAGGCTCACATTTTGGTAAACCTACATCTGGATCTATCCTTGTGTGTCTTGCCTTCATGGATTACCTGCCCCTGACAACACATATCTATCATGGCAGCACATATCTATCATGGCAGCACGTATCTATTAGTGGTGTTCCGATTAATTGAAATAATCGAAGATTGGTCGCAGTGACCAAACGACCAAGCAATCGATCACATTTTCTCAAAATCGAACACAAACGATTTTGGAAGTATTGGTTTAGTTTTTGAAACACTTGACGACGGAGCATATCTTTGAAGTTGTCAGTGCCTGAAAATAGGTTTAATTGTTAGAATATTCACTGAAAAGTCATGACTGAATATTTCTTGAAGACTCCAGAAGTTTATCTTCATGATATATTAGTTATCACATTAAAGTAGCAAGATCGATCACGTTATAGTTATCTGCTATACCAACCCGAATAGAAAAATCTGAAAAATGATGCTAACCAATATTTTTCGAAGATTGATTGGTTGTAATGAAACAATCATCAATTATGAGATTTTAACCAATTCCCAACACTAGTATCTCTCACTGTTGGTATTCTCCATATTGCAAATGTCCTCCCCTTGAGAAAACAGATCTGTCATAGTTACACATACTTATCACAGAAAACGTGTGTCTATCACAGCAACACATATCCATCATAACAAAAGTGTTTCCTCTCTACAGCTCCACCATTCCCTCCATCTTACCTTCTTGACAAATGATGAGAAGAGCACCCGGTTGTAGTGGTCTTGACCCTTGAGGGTACTCATCTGGGACACAAAGTCATGCGTGGAGCTGTTGTCCTTGGTCTACCACAGAAACAAGTCACTGGTACAATCACAACAGTCAACAAAATTTATGTACATGATATAGAAAATGGACTTTACCTGCTCTGCAAACAGGGGCCCAAGACTTCCCTCAAAAAGCTTTGAAGAGCTTACTATCATTACACTAAACAGCACTAATATAGAGACTCTACTGCCTAGGTTGACATTGTTTACATAGAGAGACAAGGTTAACAAAAGCTTTGAAGAGCTTACTATCATTACACTAAACAGCACTAATATAGAGACTCTAGGTTGACATTGTTTACATAGAGAGACAAGGTTAACAAAAGCTTTGAAGAGCTTACTATCATTACACTAAACAGCACTAATATAGAGACTCTAGGTTGACATTGTTTACATAGAGAGACAAGGTTAACAAAAGCTTTGAAGAGCTTACTATCATTACACTAAACAGCACTAATATAGAGACTCTAGGTTGACATTGTTTACATAGAGAGACAAGGTTAACAAAAGCTTTGAAGAGCTTACTATCATTACACTAAACAGCACTTATATAGAGACTCTACTGCCTAGGTTGACATTGTTTACATAGAGAGACAAGGTTAACAAAAGCTTTGAAGAGCTTACTATCATTACACTAAACAGCACTAATATAGAGACTCTACTGCCTAGGTTGACATTGTTTACATAGAGAGACAAGGGTAACAAAAGCTTTGAAGAGCTTACTATCATTACACTAAACAGCACTTATATAGAGACTCTACTGCCTAGGTTGACATTGTTTACATAGAGAAACAAGGTTAACAAAAAGTTTTCAAAAAAGTAAAAAAATATTTTCTCTGTAAGACTACCAAGGCAGTTAGTTTGGAATCCAAGAAATGAAATCCTGTATAGAATTTGGAGCAGATAGGATAGGATTGTCTCCCCTTGACCCTTACCGAAGATAGGTAGTTGCTCTCCCACTTCCGCTTCAGGCCGTAATCTAACCTCTGACCCTTGAGTGCATCAGATGCTGCACACTTGAGGCGGAGAGCTGGCCGATCCTCCTTGGGAATATTGCGTAGTATCATGTTTGCTCTCCACCTGAGGGAACAACAGCATAAGTTACAGCAAGATTGGTTAGTTGGTTTGTTGTTTACTGCCACACTCAGCAATATTCCAGCTATATGGCAGACGGCCTGTGAATCATTGAGTCTGGACCAGACAATCCAGTGATCAACAACATGAGCATCAATCTACGCAATTGGGATACAATGACATGTCTCTATCAAGTCAGTGAAGTGAGTGAGTGAGTGAGTGAGTGAGTGAGTGAGTGAGTGAGTGAGCGAGCGAGTATATTCCAACAGTATCACTGCTGCTGACACCAGGGATGGGCTTCCTACATTGTACTCATGAGATAAATCAAACCTGGGCCTCATTCCACAAAGCGACCTTAGAACTACTGTTGTAAGTCAATGCTATCATCTCAGTGCTAAGATCAGTTTGTGGAACTGGGCCCAGGCTAGCTATTCTCGAAACGTTCGTAGACCTACGAACTTCTTAAGCCCATTCTTAACACATTGGCTACGATCAAAGTTAAGAATTCTTAGGGCTACGAACGTTTCGAGAATAAGGGCCCAGGTCTTTAAACACCAGACTACCCCACGTGTGCACTGTCTGTGTGGACTGTCTGAGTGGAATTACTGTGTGGACTGTCTATCCGTGTGGACTATTCCTGTGGACCAACCTGTTGTGTATTCTCTGCAGCATGCTGACCAGTCCCTCCAGGACAGACGGGGGGCGTGGCCACTGGACACTCTTCCCATAATCCCTCTTGTTCCTCACATTCCTGAAACATACCCACACACCGGCTAATTCCAACAGTGTCAAGGTCATGCTAGAATATTTTATATACCCTTTACTAACTCCATCAAACACTTCCATTTACATATCAAAAGTGGTAAAATGTTTGTCAACAAAACACTGTCCTGTTGACATCAGGAAACAGATAATTATCATATCATATTTTGAAGAAAAACTATTTTGAACATGTCTTCTTTCATAGAAATCTGACAACCATCTAAACTCGATACATTCCTACATTTCTTCCCTTAGTACTTATTACGTGTTTCAATTACAAAGATCAAAACAACAAAGTGAACACAAGCCTAAAAGAAACTAACATTACTTTACAAACAAATCTACAAATTTGGACGGGAAACTAAATGTCAAGCCTTAATTGTGCAAAACATCTCTTTTGAGCTAATTCTCACAGCAGCCTGTCCCTAGAATCCTATGGGAAGTGTTCCTTACTGAGCTGAATCACACATTCTACCATGTCTACACATTTACCTGAAACGCTCAACAAGGCTCATGATGTAGGACCGCATCTTGTATTTCCTGAAGCGTCCCATGATCAAGTAGATGGCTCTCATCTTCTTCACTCGTGATCGGGCCAAGCCACCTCGCCAATGCTGAAACAAACACACAGTTTTGTCAGATCAGCATTCAAGAACACACGCATCCTTCACTGACACAGAGTGATCAAAGTTTGCTTATAGTTTACTGGCAATGACCTTCAATAGCCATGACCTTCAATAGCCATGACCTTCACTAGCCATGACCTTCACTAGCGGGGATATACAATCTTAATCCAAGGAGCATAAAAGTTGATTTCAGAGATTTTAATTTTACTATTCAGTAATCCTCACCGTTTGCAGGAAGAGCACTATTGGTGGTATCTTGGAATCACGGACTTCCTCCAGTGAGAAGAGTGTCTGCGGGGATCGGATGAATAGTTTCGAGCGTCCGTATTTGACGTCACTTTCATAGTTCAGCTCCTGTATGATACTCTTGACTCCATCAAAATCAGATCCCCTGAACTTGGGCCACGTTCTGGATGTTATACACTTATACCTGGAACACAACGCACAAAACATAAATACAGATAAACCTACAGATAGATGGAGATACTGATAATTTATGAAATTTGATACCCCACTGCTTGACACTGTACAATTATTGAAATCGCAGTTCACCAGTTTGACCATACACAATAACATGATAAAAATGTAATTTCTGATTAAAATTGATATTTTATACTTATCCTGACTCATGCTAAATGATTGTCTCCTTCCTCTTGCGAATGATAGTGGAACACTTGAAATCCCTTGAAGTTCCCTTCTAAAAAGCGGACGTAAAATCATCACTCACCCACGAGTAGTCTGCCTTGCCTCCTTTGGCGCCCTTTTTGGTCACATGACCAGCTATGTTTCTCACTCTCTCTGTTTGTACGCCCGACACCTGGATTTACAGGGAAATCCAGAATGCCCTGAGAGGGGAGGTTGGGAGGGCTGACCTCATGAGTCCTGATAAGTATAAAATATCAATTTTAATCAGAAAATTACATATTTTTCCTTATCCTGACTCCGTCGGAATCAGTGGTGGGTCAGGCCACTTCCTGGATTCACTGGCTGATGTTTTACGTCCTGTATTTTCCCCCCATGGGAACTATGACGGCACTGTGACGATCTTCCATCTGATGCGTGCATCAAGTGGAGATGCGACAATTCTTCATGTACGAGTAATTCCTGTACAAGTACAGGGTCTAACCACTAATGCTAGTCTGTCCTAGACGTGCGCATGGACTTTCAACCATTTACTCTCCAGAGTGTTGGTTTTCACAAGTCACGTGATAAAGGGTGAGATCCTTCTCAGCGCCTTTGTGGAACCGTTAGTTGTTGTGCTACAACAAGTGGCCCAAATTGGAGAATGCCTGAGATGTCTTCGGTGGCAATGTCTCTGAGGTAGTGGTTGGCAAACACCGTGTCTGACTTCCAAAAGCAGCCCTCCATTATAGATGATATCGAGCAGATTCTGTGCAGAGCGATAGTGGACGTCACTGCTCTGACTTCGTGTGGATTGGAAGCTCGTGGAGGTTCTAGTCCTGCTGCTTTGTAGGCCCTCAGTATAATGGCTCTCATCCAAAATGATATTGCCGTTCTTGAGACTTCTCAGACGTCTATGCTGACACGGGGATGAATAGGCGCTTGAATTTTCTTCTCCTTGTTTTAGTCTTTTGAAGATATATCTTCAGGGTTCTGACAGGACACAAGGATAAGTCCTGGGTGTCCTCTGGTCCGAGGATCGGAGATAGTGCTGGGACGTGGAACTGTCTGTCCGGTCTGCCATGTAAATGACATTGTCAAGTTCGTAGTGTCAACGGAGAGAGTATTGCTTGAGATGCCCTGGCTTGTATCTTGACCCAACGATCCTCTGTGGTGTGATGAGCCATATACCCAGAAATTGAAGATCCTGTTTTGGTTCCAACTCCGATTAGGAGATTACTAGCCAACTACTGCAATCATGTCCTACATGGTAGGTAAGTGGATCTAGGAACCCTTGCCATGTCCGTCATGGAAGCGGAGGGACGATCGAATCTGGAATCATGGCTTGAAGCTTGTCTCATCAATCTTCCGGTAATATGTAATGAAGATGTTGTCACCAGAATCTGAACAATGTGCAGCGATGATGCATAATACATCATCTCTAGATCAGCAAAAATCTATGATGTACTGGGACTGCCATCGATGTGAAGACTATTTATAGTCGACTGGCTGCCGCGAGCAGAAACCGTTTAATGCTTGTCGCTGCAAGTCCCCAGATAACCAATATGGAATCTGCTGAGAGGGTAAGTCCTCTATGACCCGTGAAGATAGTCGAACCACGCTGTACCCTGCTAACTGGACTGTAAATGGAGCCTTTCCCATGTTGAAAGAGGTGTATACAACTGTAGACAACTTCCTGGCACGTGACTATGACCGAGTTCTGTGCAGGGCGTTGTCTCTCATGGACCAATCAGATTTCAGATATGACGTCACCGGTGTTGCAGGTAAATGATCCTCGTAGAATCTTGTGCAGTCGTTGATTTCTTCGTCAACACTTGGCCTTGTCCGTAACCTCTCTGTTCGGCTTGTGCCGGAGTTTCACGAGTGAACACGTGTATAGATGGCTGAGTGCGGAAGCGCGCGAAAACTTCGCCGCATAGAACCGATGTAAGCAGACTGTTCCCTGTCTGTTGTGACTGTATTGAACTTCATAATCTTTGCTGCAGTGGTCATCTTGTGCAGATGTTCTGTAAAGTTGACCGTAACCGATGTCTCACTGAGGAACTGTGACAATGCCTTGATATCTTGTAAGCCCATGTGATGAAAATCTTCAGTGTTTCATCGGATGTTATCTGACATCGTTAGTTCAGGTGTGCGTCTCTTCCTACAGCCACGCGTTGATCCAACATTGCCAACATCTAGTCGTAGAGTCCAGTTGCATTATCTTCTTATCTTCCATCTTGAAGATCTATTACGGGATTCACTGATGATCTTGTAATCTCAAACCCTGATGTTATCATGAAGGGCTTCCGTATGATGAAGGGGAAATCTGCCAGCATTGAACGGCGGGACATGCTGACTCTGTTATTCCGTGCTCCCTGCACTTTCGCGAAGGCTGTTCTTTGATTATAATCCTCCCCGTGAGTGCCTGCGCCGCAGGTTGATGAAGGTCCACGTTGGAAGATCCGTATCTGCAAAGTCTGTAGAATCCTGGAGAACGACTGGATCTACTTCTGTGTTAGAATCCTTCCTGCTGAGACACTGAAACTGCGTGGAGGCTCCATAGTGGACTGCTAACACTAAGCTGGCGTTCGTTAAATCCTCCAGGCTTCTAACTGCTGATACTTCTGACAGTAAAGATCTTCGCGAACGTAACCGTTCGTGCAGGCCTTTATCCGAGAGAGCTTGCATAGCGAATATTCCTTCACGCAGGGCGGCTGTCATCGGAGGAGTCTGCTATGCTGAGCAGACGTTAGTAGAGTTCTCCAGACTTCTAACTTCAGACGGTGAAGTTGAACATTTCCCTGTCTGAAGATCCATAATGATGCAAGTCTCTGTATGTAGATCTGTACGTAGAGCTGCGTGCAGGTGAACGGTCCCAGTGTGACCGTGTATTCCTCCTGGAGTCATGAGATATCTCTCTAGGCCTTCGCAAACGCTGATTTGAAGTAATCTCCCCTCTGTGAGATGTGGAGTGCCTGTGCGCAGGTTCCCGATGTGAGTCTAAGTCCGACGGTGATGACGATTCATATCTGCGGCGTCTGTAGGGTTCTGGAAAACGCTTCGATCTGTTTCAGCGTGGAGAATTCTTAGAGGCTCCTCCGGGGACGTCTAAGACTGAGCTGACGTTGGTAGCGTTGTCCAGACTTCTAGCTTCAGACGGTGAAGATCGTCAGATGCATGGGTCTTCGCGCAGGCTTTCCTCTTCATCCAGATGCGTTGGAGAGGCTGCTAAACCTTCGTGCAGGCTAGTAGTCATTGTAGTGGTCTTCGTAGCAGCTTTCTCCTGCGCGGCGTTCCACGCGACATCATCATCGATCTCGTTGCTGGTGCCCGGGTTGAAGTTCTGTGTTGATAGGTCTTCTATCAATTTGATAATGATACAGTTGCCGATGTAGCTGTGAAGAAGTTGAGGCTGCTGCTATCTCTTCTTGCTGATGACTGCAATTTCAGGTATGATGATTGGGGAATCATCATACACATCTGCTTCTTCTGGAGATACAATATTAGCAGTGATGGGGATCATCGTCCCTCTGTGTAGAGACTTCAGTGAAGAGACGCTGAAGAGAAATCTCGTCTTCTTAGACTTCTTCTTCTGCGATGAGATCTCGCCTTCTTCAGCTGCGATGAGGACAGCTCCATTATCTCTACTTATTCGAGACGGAGTTAATCACTGGAACAGTGACCTGCCCTCGTAAAACGCTCGGCAATTCACTCGAATTATGAACATCGGCAGCAGTAGTTAACACACGGTTATCAGCGCAATCACTTGATTTACCAGACATGACTTGTGAATACCTTCTTACCCAGTCCTTTGCACGTCTATGAAGAGAAAAAAGGTAGTTAATAAATTCAAAAGTAGTTAGTTTCTGACAATGTTTACAGCAAGAGCTGGAAGAACATGTAGTAGTGCAATCAGGACATAATATATGCAGGTCAGCCACAGACAGACGGTACCTACAACGAATACAAGTTTTCATCAATTGTAAATAAGATGAAAAACATGGCAAACAACGTATAATTCAGACATAATATCAAACCATTTGATAATATACAATCCAAAAACCGTATACAGCTGCAATTTAGATGTAAAAGGTCCAAAATAGAAAGGATATGTGTGTTAAGGGACCCAGGTGCTCTCACAAACGTCCTCGAGGGTGCAGGAGAGAGTGACAAACATAGCTGGTCATGTGACCAAAAAGGGCGCCAAAGGAGGCAAGGGAGACTACTCGTGGGTGAGTGATGATTTTACGTCCGCTGTTTAGAAGGGAACTTCAAGGGATTTTAAGTGTTCCACTATCATTCGCAAGAGGAAGGAGACAAGCATTTAGCATGAGTCAGGATAAGGAAAATATGAACTCATTTGCAACAGTGTAAATAATGAGAGATGTGGTGATATCAGTCGGACCATTTACAGTTTGAGGATGCTAAAATGAAGCCAACATTTTTCTCATTGATGAAATCCACCTTTGTTGGTATAGTACTGACAAAAATACATCATTATTGGGAGGACTTTTTGAACCAACAATCGGCTGAACTCGGTGAGGGCTTAACTTCAAACCACTACATCAAACCCAGCCCTCCTCTCTCTCTCATCAGCCCATGACAAACTCACCTCTGCAGGAACCTGGTGTAGCCCATCCTGTAGGCAAACCCAGCCCTCCTCACACGGACGTTCTCCATCAAGCCCAGGTACATGACCTGATGCTTCACCCTCGTGTCGTCAAACACCACTGGGGACTTGATCTCATTTGGTTTGATACACCGGACATAGTGGGGCTCCTGAAATGAAGGTCACACAGCGTGTCAAGCTATCCATAGTGAGTGAGTGAGTGAGTTTGGTTTTACGCCGCTTTTAGCAATATTCCAGCAATATCACGGCGGGGGACGCCAGAAATGGGTTTAACACATGAAGATCCATAGATCTCAGTAAGAGTTCAAAGTAATGTATGCCTTAAAAAGTAGCCTCATTATTCTCAAACAAACGCAACAACATAACAATGTTCAAGGTTGTCTCTGATGCAGAAATACTGCTGAATTCCTGAAATCAATGATAAGAAAGACTTGCACAGCAAAACCGCAGCGTGAAAGATATGTCTGCTCAAAACAATACTATACAAGTTTATTTAACACGACATTTTGTTGGTTTGTCTTAATGCCACATCCAGCAGTATTCCAGCTTCATGATGGCAGTCTGTAAATAAGTCTGTAAGTATAACCATCCAATCCTGTTAGTTGCCTCTTACAACAAGTATGGGTTGAGAATACCAATTCTAACCAATTCTCAGGATATATCAATACTAAACGCATGAAATGAAAATCTGTACAAAAGGAAAAGAATCCTCATACACCATATCACATAATGTATGAAGAGTAACTTGATAGCCACAACTGCACCTCTCCCTCTTGTACACAGTCTATACGCTGAGAAGCCAGGGGAAGGTACAGATCCTGAGTGAGTGAGTGAGTTTAGTCTTACGCCGCACTCAGCAATATTCCAGCTATATGACGGCGGTCTGTAAATAATCGAGTCTGGACCAGACAATCCAGTGATCAACAGCATGAGCATCGATCTGCGCAATTTGGAACCGATGACATGTGTCAACCAAGTCAGTGAGCCTGACCACCCAATCCTGTTAGTCGCCTCCTACGACCAGCATGGGTTACTGAAGATCAATATTCTAACCGGACCTTCACGGGTATACAGATCCTGAAGCTGGAGAGTGAGTGAGTTGGGTTTTATGCCAATTTTAGCAATATCCCAGCAATATTACCAGAAATGGGCTTCACACACTGCACCCATATGGGGAATCAAACCCAGTCTTCAGCGTGACAAGCGAACACTTTAACCACTGGGCTACTCCACTGCTCCCTGACGCTGGGAAAGACCCTGCTATTGAAGTGTCAAGATGACTCCTACCTTGGAGGCCAGCTTCTGGACCAGGGAGATGATGGAGTTCTTGAAACTGGTACCGGCAGTGATGGGACGCTTGGTGGTCTGGAGTGCAATGACGGAAATAGTCCAGTAACCTTTATCTCAAAATACATTGTTTACATTTTGAATATGAATGTTTTTCATGCATGTTGCAGGAGAATTCAGTTAAGTCAGTATAAACAGTAAATTGATTTTAAAACAAAATACAACTTAATCTGAAAGATTTTTTATACACATAGAGATATGGTCATCAATGGTAATAGGCAGCTGTTCGTTCTTAATAACTTAATTTTGATCTTACTTTATTCTCTTACTGTCATCAGGTGACTTTGAGAAATGTTTTAACAAAGTCAGATTTTAGAGTGTCTGTGTTAAAGTTCATCAAGTCTAAAAACAACTAACCTCAGTCACAGACAGCTTCCCTTCTGGCCACATACACTTGATCAGCTCATTGTCACTGTAACAATCAAGGAAAAGGTGTGAGTATGTATGTGATAATTTTAGCAATATTCCAGCAATATCATGGCGAGAGACACCAGAAATGGGAGAATCAAACCCAGGTCTTCAGTGTGATGAGTGGACACAGCCCCTCAAGCACCAGGTTTTATATGTTACGTTATCAATCATGGATGTTTATGGTAAACATGAAAGTAAACCAAGGCAATAACTGCTTTTATGTCTTTTGTTTGTTTTTGAACACACCAATCAGCAATATTCCCAAAATATGATGGTGTCTCATCAATACACGAATCAAGACAAACCAGTGATCAATACTGTGGAGATCCACACTGACAGGCTACCTCCCTACCTTCCGATCAACCAAGTCACCAAGTAATGATTCAATTAACAGCCTGCAGGTCACTCTAACCCAGGGCTCGATTTAAGAGATGTTCACCTACTTGCACCAGGTGCAACCTAAGATAAAAACCTAGTTGCACCAGCCAAATTCCAGTTGCACTGCTTCTATTGCAATATGTAATGAAAGAAATATGCTATTGAACTATTTAGATGTTTTATTCACAAGTTTACCCACTCACAAATTGACCTGCACCTGGTGCAAGTTAGACTAATAACTAGGTTGCACTTTGTAATATTTGCTAGCACCAGTGCAAGTAACAAAGCACTAAATCGAGCCCTGAAACCTCAAAACCTCCACAAGGTCATCAATATCTGACCATGTACTTCCTATACAGAAACATCAAACGTAAATTAATTAGCAAACTATAGTTCATGAAAGGTATTCAAAAAGGGTCAGGCTTGCCGACTAGTTAGATGCATGTTGATGACTTGATTGATGTTCATGTCAGTCAGTAGATTATCTTGTACAGACACAAATATTTACAAACCAGTCAAATAGCATGATATTTGCTGAGTACTGTCTTAGATAGCACCAGCTAAAAACAAAGAAACAAAATAATGGTCCTACCTGTTGTACAGAAGCCTCTTGAAGTCCTGGTAGAGAGTGTCCCTGTTCTTGTCGATGAAGCCGTCGACGGAGTAGGTGACATCACCAGCGTAGTGCTTAATACGGAAGTCTTTGTCGTGTTCCAGGGACTTGTCGGATGGCACAAGCTGCAAAAGTATTTGTCAGGGTTTTACTGGATGACACCCACATATGTATATTGAGGGTCCTTGGAGTCAAAGATTGAAGAAAAGTGGAGTAATTTATTTTGTCACTGATATTTGGGAAGTAAAACTAAAAACAACTTCAAGAAATAAGATAGTAGATGAATATGTGATCATAGGATATTAGAGTATGTTGCTAGGTTAATAGGATGAACAACAGCATAATTGTCAGCATAACATTATTGTCAGCATATCATTATTGTCAGCATAACAATATTGTCAGCATAACAAAATTGTCAGCATAACAATATTGTCAGCATAACATTATTGTCAGCACAAATATCTCTTTAATAAGCATAACAGTTATGTCGACACAAACATATCCCTTCATAAGATAAATAACATCATAACGTTGTTGTCAGCACAAACATCTCCTAATTAAGATGAATGAAGGCAAAACATAATTGTCAGCAGAATTGTTTAAGCAGTGACTGCCAATGACTCACCGATCTGCAGGTGAATCTGTCACTGTGGTTCAGCTTCTGAGACATGGCCTGAAGGAACATCTACAACAGAGGGAGTGAGTGAGTACTGCTTGCTTCCAACATCTGTGACATGGATGTGTTTAATTAGTGAGTCAGTGAGTTAGGTTTTATGCCGCTTTTAGCAATATTCCAGCAATGTCATGGCAGGGGGACATCAGAAATGGGCTTCACACATTTTACCCATGTTGGGAATTGAACCTAGGTCTTCAGCGTGACAAAGCAAACGTTTTAACCACTGGTCTACCCCAAAGCCCCTCAAAGGCAGAACCCATGAAGATTCCGGTTAGAATCGGTCTGCAGCAGCTCATGCCTGTCAGAAGAGTCGACTAATGGGATTGGGTGGACAGAATCATGGACTTGGTTGATCACATGTCATCATTTCCCAGTTGTGAAGATCGATGCTCATGCTGTTGATCACTGGATTGTCTGGTCCAGACTCAAGTTGGAATATTGCTGAGTGAGGCGTTAAACAACAAATAAAGGAACTCAGAGGCAGAAGGTTCTCAACAACTGAAGGGCACCACCATACTTACTTTGTCAGTGACCTTGCCGACACTGAGACAGGCCTCGTCTAGGATGGCCAGGACACCTTTATGGGGCTGCTCCACGAGGTCACAGATCACCTTGTTGTTGAAGTAGTCCACCTACAACAGTAAGTACAGAATGAAACACTTGAAGTATATGGTTCCAACTTCCACACAAAATTTGAGGCCATGCATATCTCGTAAGACCTTTGACCACATGCATTTGAAAATGTAGAACATTCATCAATATCGTATTATAAGTCAAAAAAATTTCAGCACTTTACACTTTGCAACAGAAACCTGTCTTGGTAATTCAACCATGTAAACATGCAAAGGTACTGATGGAAAATGGTGGCAAAATACCTGAATAAACAAACTGAAAAAATCCTAATTTGTTTTTGAAAATGCATTTTGCTTCAACGCCAACAGAAACAGATAATTATGGAAAGGGAGATAACTATTACCCCAAACACATCTTTGACAATTTGTTTTCTAGTTTCACACAGATTTCAAACCCAAACTGAGGAAAGATATATTCAGTTTTAACTTAAAAAGTGGTTTGTTTAGAAACCATCAAGGCCAAAATTTGGGTTCATCAGGGTTCATCTGATGCTCCCTTCTGTAGGAATTATCTACAAACAGACAGGTTTTGTATTGGAGTGCAAAATCTGATCAGAAATAATCAGAAATGAGATTGAGTAACATGACTGCACAAAAGCTTGATGTGAGAGGTAAGTCCAAAATGACACAGGTCAGAAAAGTCAAGCAGTATGGCCACGTTGGATCTGGGATTATTACACTCTATCACAGGTTCCTGTTATACCTAAGGGACACAACTCCATCAAACGAATATAGGTGAGCATGACAACTGAGCCACACCTGCTCTTCAAGTACAAAAAGTTACTGCTGGCAATATCACAGAGTGATTGGCTGCATCTCGGATATTCAAATGGAAAAGAAAAACAAGTTCACAGTTGAAGATGCAAACATGGGGAGGATCTGATACGTATTATTTATTTAAATCCCCCATACAGAAGGGGAGACAACTCACATGCTGCCACTCGATGCCCTCCCTCATGTATTCCTCTTGCTCCTGCTTCAACACCAACTCTATGAAGAGCTGCTGGAGTTTCTCGTTGCAGTAGTTGATGCAGAACTGCTCAAAGCTGAAACACAAACATCATTTCATATCACACAATTATTTCTTTACTTTTCCATCTTAATAAGAAGTTATCAGTGAGCCTTTTGATCATACAGATTAAGCTTTCATTTTACTTCTTCCACAACATTTTACTTCTTTCAACAACAGTACAGTCGGACTTGCAAGCAAAATAAACTGAAGCGTATCTATTTTGATTTCTTTTGGATACCAGAATTGCCTTCACACATTGTACCCATGTGGGGAATCGAACCTGTGTCTTCGGTGTGACAACCAACGCTTTACCCACTAGGCTACCCCTCTGTCCCTCTACAAACAGGGGACCCATGAAGATCCGGGGTAGAATAGGTCTTCAGCAACCCATGCGTGCCACAAAAGGCGACTATGCTTGTCGTAAGAGGTGACTAACGGGATCGGGTCGTCAGGCTCGCTGACTTGGTTGACACATGTCATTGGTTCCCAATTGCGCAGATCGATGCTCATGCTGTTGATCACTGGATTGTCTTGTCCAGACTCGATTATTTACAGACCGTCGCCATATAGCTGGAATATTGCCGAGTGTGGCGTAAAACTAACTCACTCACTCACTCACTCTACACACAAGGAATAAAACTACGGCCTGAAGGCTAAGAGCCAGACTACTGTGACTGATAGTGTTATATTCTCATGCATGCATGCAAACACATCAAGTGCTTTTCATTCTCAGACTGAAAAATATCTTCCTCAGTGTTTGGTACAATGTACACGATATATGCCAGTTCTTTTTACCAACACAACAACTACGGTATAACCCCAAACAAAATGTTTAATTTGTTGACATACCTGTTGTTGTCAAAGATCTCGAAGCCATAGATGTCGAGCACGCCGATGACAGTACCCTTGCTGGTGTATCGGACTCCGCTGGCCTTGGGGTCGATTGCCTCATTTATGCGGCCAACTATCCAGGAGAACATGCGGTCATAGATGGCCTGCAGTCATAACACAGTCACAGTCACATGTCACACAGTGACCATCTCAAGATAAGCGTTTCCACATTTCCGTTTCTTTAAAGTTCTTCTTCTAATATTGCTCAGTTGTTCATATTTGTTATTATAAGTCACTGTTTGAAAATGAATGCACATTACTGCCAGATGGATAAGTCTCTAATAACATAATTGGGATTTAGCAATATCCCACTAAATTTTTTACAGGCTGCAATACCATGGTATCATATTTTTGTTAACTTCTTAATCACATTCCATCCTAAACCTTGACTTCTTCTCTTATGCTTACTTCAGGTTTGAATTAATTCACCAACATTGTCTCACTTTCAATAAAAAAATAATATGCTGTCACTTCCTATTTTTTCACTACAGGTTCCCATTTTCATACCCAATAATATAAATCCAGTTTGCTTTTAATAAAGTTAAAAAAATATTTAAGAATGTAATAATAATAATACATCAAGCCAGAGCCATAAGAAGCAATTACAGTTATTTTAAGGGGCTTTCCATCACAAGTTATCTTTCACCAACCTTAGCAAAGGCATCCCTGGCAAAGTAAGCATCCTTCTTGGTGAGTCCTTTCTCCACAACGTTCCCGCCAGCAGCGATGGTGCGTGAGCACAGTGCCTTCTCCAGTTGGTCCGGTCGCACCTCCAGAAGCCCAGCGATGATGTTGCTGACCGACTGGTTCCCTACACATGCTACGTCTTCCTCTGCCACATCAAACTCCACGTTGCCCTGGAGGTAGAGTACAGCAATGACACAGCCTGTACACTCAACTCTTGTACGGAACCATACAAACACAGTACTTGCATGACTGCAGGGAGCGGGATTCTTTAACACAAGTCACTAATTACAACATCTATATTAACACCAAGAAATGAGCAACAGGTATGCAGTAATGTGTGTACATGTAACTTAGGCAGTGGGGTAGCCTTGTGGTCAAACATTCGCTCATCATTCCATGGTGGATATTAGGCGCTTCATAAATACATTATTATTTTTATTATCACACCAAAGGTCCGGGTTCGATTCCCAACATGGGTACATTGTGTGAAGCCTATTTCTGGTATTAACCAAATTTTGCTAAAAGCGGTGCAAGACCAAACTCAGTCGGTCAGTCAGTATATGTAACATGCCAAATTAGAACCTACACATGCTACATTACTACCCAGTTCAATGGATCTATGTGTACCCGATGTGTATTCTCAGCTTCATGAGGAGTATACAATCCAAGTTGTCTGCAGGGAGCTGGAAGGTCGTCACATTGCATCTCTTCCTACTCGGTACCCAGTCTCTGCTTGGTGAGGTGAGATGAGGTGAAATTGGGTTTAACGTCGTGCTTGAGAATATTTCGCTCATATGACGACGTGCATGCGTGTGTGTATGTGTATGTGTGGCTGCTTGTACTAGCCCAGACTGAAGCTGGTTTTATAGTGCTAGCCCACTGAGATACCATGCCGCAGTGAAGCATGAATATCCCACTCAGACACATTATACTGACTCCAAGCCGACCAGTCCTTAATGCTGAGCGCCAGGCATGGACCAACTAGTACCATATTTTAACGTCTTAAGTATGACGTGGTATGGGTTCGAACCCGCGACCTTCCGCTCTCAGGGCTGATGCTCTAACCACTACACTACAGAGGCGGTCCTCTGCTTGGTGAATAAAGGCATATTTCAAACAGAGACTCTTGTCTCAGGAGACACCATGGGTGCTACAAGTGACTGGAGTTGGGCAGGACCAAAGCCCTAGAAACACTGGAGCCATGGTGTCAAACACTGTCACCCATCCAAATACTCTCACAAACAATGTTGCTTAACTGTGGCCTGATTTGTGAACAGTTGGTAGTGCATGGTCAACCTTTATCAATGAATATTTACATCAATAACAGTCCAAGAGTTTCCAGAATCACAGGGTCCAGATCGATGTTGACTGCAACACCGTTGAAGACACCAACCACATGCTCCATACTCACCAGGTGTATGACTGCTGCCACGATGCTCCACAACGTCTCCACATGTGAGAAGGCAAACCCTGTGGCTTTCATGGCATCCATCACAGACTTTAAGTCACGCCGATCATTGATGGAATCAACCTACCAAAAAAATTGGCACATTAACATCACATGGGTCAACCCAAGTTGTTTGGTGTTCACTGGCAGTATTACAGTGATATGATGGTTGCCTTTAAATATTTAAACCTGAATCAGACGATCCAGTAAGAGATATTAGAAGCAATATGTTGGGGAAAAATAACCCACAAACATCTACGAAACTGAGCCTGACCACGCAGTCTAATATGTCCATGAAGTTACCTTGGCACTCCCTCCCTGTCTCACATAATGATACTGTTGGAGAGCAGCTTACCTTGGCACTCCCTCCCTGTCTCACATAATGATACTGTTGGAGAGCAGCTTACCTTGGCACTCCCTCCCTGTCTCACATAATGATACTGTTGGAGAGCAGCTTACCTTGGCACTCCCTGTCTCACATAATGATACTGTTGGAGAGCAGCTTACCTTGGCACTCCCTGTCTCACATAATGATACTGTTGGAGAGCAGCTTAGCCTTGGCACTGGAGAGCAGCTTACCTTGGCACCCTGTCTCACATAATGATACTGTTGGAGAGCAGCTTACCTTGGCACTCCTTCCCTGTCTCACATAATACCTTGGCATACATAATGATACTGGAGAGCAGCTTACCTTGGCACTTGGAGCAGCTTACCTTGGCACTCCTCCCTGTCTCACATAATGATACTGTTGGAGCAGAGCAGCAGCTTACCTTGGCACTACCTTGGCCTGTCCTGTCACATAATGATACTGTTGGAGAGCAGCTTACCTTGGCACTCCCTGTCTCACATAATGATACTGTTGGAGAGCAGCTTACCTTGGCTCCCTCCCTGTCTCACATAATGATACTGTTGGAGAGCAGCTTACCTTGGCCTCCCTGTCTCACATAATGATACTGATACTGGAGAGCAGCTTACCTTGGCTACCTCCTCCCCTGTCTCACATAATGATACTGTGGAGAGCAGCTTACCTTGGCACTCCCTCCCTGTCTCACATAATGATACTGTGGAGAGCAGCTTACCTTGGCACTCCCTGTCTCACATAATGATACTGTTGGAGAGCAGCTTACCTTGGCACTCCCTCCCTGTCTCACATAATGATACTGTTGGAGAGCAGCTTACCTTGGCACTCCCTCCCTGTCTCACATAATGATACTGTTGGAGAGCAGCTTACCTTGGCACTCCCTCCCTGTCTCACATAATGATACTGTTGGAGAGCAGCTTACCTTGGCACTCCCCTGTCTCACATAATGATACTGTTGGAGAGCAGCATAATGATACTGTTGGCAGCCTCCTCCTGTCTCACATAATGATACTGTTGGAGAGCATAATTACCTTGGCACTCCCTGTCTCACATAATGATACTGTTGGAGAGCAGCTTACCTTGGCTCTCCCTGTCTCACATAATGATACTGTTGGAGAGCAGCTTACCTTGGCACTTGGCCTCCCTGTCTCACATAATGATACTGTTGGAGAGCAGCTTACCTTGGCACTCCCTCCCTGTCTCACATAATGATACTGTTGGAGAGCAGCTTACCTTGGCACTCCCTCCCTGTCTCACATAATGATACTGTTGGAGAGCAGCTTACCTTGGCACTCCCTCCCTGTCTCACATAATGATACTGTTGGAGCAGCTTACCTTGGCACTCCCTCCTGTCTCACACACTCCCTCCTGTCTCACATAATGATGCTGTTACTGTGGAGAGCAGCTTACCTTGAGCATCTCCTCCCTGTCTCACATATAATGATACTGTGGAGAGCAGCTTGGCACTCCCTCTCCCTGTCTCACATAATGATACTGTTGGAGAGCAGCTTACCTTGGCACTCCCTCCCTGTCTCACATAATGATACTTTGGCACTCCTCCCAGTCTCACATCATGATACTGTGTGGAGGTGTCTTACCTTGCACTTCCTCCTGTCTCACATAATGATACTGTTGTGGAAAGTGTCTCACCTTGGCACTCCCTGTCTCACATAATGATACTGTTGGAGCAGCTTAAAGAGTCTCACAAAATGATACTATGTGGAAAATGTCTCACCTTGATACTGCCCCTGTCTCACATCCCTGTCTCACATAATGATACTGTTGAGAGAGTCTCACAAAATGATACTATGTGGAAAATGTCTCACCTTAGCTTACCTTGGCACTCCCTGTCTCACATCATGATACTGTTGGAAAGAGTCTCACTCCAAAATGATACTATGTGTTGGAAAGTGTCTCACCTTGGCACTCCCCCTGTCTCACATCATGATACTGTGGAAAGCGGAAAGAGTCTCACAAAATGATACTATGTGGAAAGTGTCTCACCTTGGCACTCCCTGTCTCACATCATGACACTCAAAGCGGAAAAGAGTCTCACAAAATGATACTATGTGGAAAATGTCTCACCTTGGCGCTCCCTGTCTCACATCATGACACTCTGCGGAAAGAGTCTCACAAAATGATACTATGTGGAAAATGTCTCACCTTGGCACTCCCTGTCTCACATCATGACACTGTGCGGAAAGAGTCTCACAAAATGATACTATGTGGAAAGTGTCTCACCTTAGCGCTCCCTCCCTGTCTCACATAATGATACTGCGTGGGGTCTCTGGTCAACTTTAACTTGCTCAGCTGGGCATCTTGTGCTCCCGATAGTAACTGGAGGGAGGAAGAAAATGAATGTCACTCATGTAGTGATCCAGATGATCCAGATGGTCAGGGTATGATGAGAAGCAACGACCAAATAACAACTGAGTCCAGTTGATTGTTACTTAATGCCGCACTCAGCAATATTCCAGCTATATGGTGGTGATCTGTAAATTATCGAGTCTGAACCAGACAATCCAGTGATCAACAGCATAGGAACAATCATCGATTGGGATACAATGAATTGTGTGAACCAAGTCAGCGAGCCTGTCCACCCGATCCTGTTAGTAGCTTTAAAAGACAAGCATGGGCTACTGAAAAGATCCTTCTGTAGTGGGATCTGTGATCCAGACAGTCAGGGTAGGATGAGAAGCTCTCGTCCAGTCGAGATCACACCACCCATATGGTCACCTTGTAGGCCAGCACAGATTGCTAGGGAACATATTATAACCCATTTCCACATGGGGAAACAGAAACTCACCTGATAGAAGGAGTGGAAGTTTCGCTCGCCATCCTGCTGGTACACAACACGACTCTGAAATACAAACATCATGAGTGATAAAATTCTGTCAAATCTTTGGAGCCTATACTGGATTAGTGAAATACATGAAGCAGTAATTCAAAGACCAAACACAAACATATATGTTACAGAAATTGGTAAAAAATTAGTGGCTGGTACAAACAACAGTTATCTCCCATTCTTCAGACAGCTATCGAGAAAGCTGTTACCTTCCCACTTCCCACAGTTACCTTTTCCAGCAAGTAGTTATTGATGTGACCACCAACTGGATCCCCCTTGAAGTCAAAGTTGATGTCCATGTATTTGCCAAATCGACTTGAGTTGTCATTCCTGTTGGTCTTGGCATTTCCAAATGCTTCCAGAATATTGTTGGACTTGATGAGGACATCTTTTACCCTGAAACATAATTTCAAATTATAACATGCTGAATTTAACAATAAAATAACATAAAATGTGCACAAGTCTCACTACATACAGATTCCTAGTATTTCCAACAAGAAGTCATCAATATCCCCCGCAATGGTAAATTACTCTTCATGAATATGTCAACTAGTTAAGACTATGTCAAATGTTACATTGTTCTTCACACTGATCTAACAAAAACATACATATGTAAACTATTGATAAACAAGAAGACAAAGTCATCAATATCCCCCGCAATGGCAAAATACTCTTCATGAATATGTCTACGAGTTACTCTGTCAAATGTTTTGGCGTGTATATATCTAAGTGGAAGGAGAGTACTGAAAGGTTTCAAAGTTCTGCTCCAGAAAGGAGCACTACCACCAAATTCAAGCCAGAATTGTTGCCATGGAAATGCAAAAACAGTTATTTTATTCAGAAATCCAAAACTACCAAAAGGCACCAGTTCACCACTAGATCTATCTATGTATGAAATTTCGTGATGAAACAGTGAACAGTTTTTAAGTTCTGCTCCGGAAAAGAGTACTACCACCAATTTCAGTCAAAGTGAAACTTGTTGCCATGGAAACGCCAAAAAATATTTTATTCAGAAATCCAAAACTACCAAAAGGCACCAGTACACCACCAGATCTACCCATGTGCCAAGTTTGGTGAAGAAATATTGAACGGTTTTAGACCGGAAAAGACAAATGTGCACGGACGCACAGACCCACGCACAGACGGAGTGCATTTTAATACACAAACACACACACACACCTGCAAAACGCGTTGCGGGGGATAACAAGCAAGCTTGTATCAACAACATGTGTTCACCTTCTGTGTGGTGATGCAGTGTTTTATAACGTCAGACAGTTCTGACAAACAACACATAATAATTTGGGCAAATCTTGGATTCAAACCCAACATCACCTTATCCCAATGTAATTGTGGACTTTCAAGTGAATGTTTGAATATATGTAATCATTTCACTCACCTTTCTACTTCCTTCTGTCCGCTCACGTTGGTAACAGCAGCAATGTATCGCATAATAATCTTGGATGCTTCTGTCTTTCCTGCACCACTCTCGCCTGAAACATCAAACACTTTGTTAGCCTCACTGTTGAAAAATGTGAATAATGACGAAACATTCAGGTCCACATTGGAACCAAACAGTAAATCATGCAGACTGTAACAAAGATAGTGTGCATGCACTCAGTTTTTTGCAGTCTCCATCGAAGTGAGTGAGTGAGTGAGTTTAGTTTTACGTCGCTTTTAGGAATATTCCAGCAATATCATGGCAGGGGACACCAGAAATGGGTTTCACAAATTGTACTTATGTGGGGAATCGAACCACAGCCTTCAGCATGACAAACAAACTTTTTAACCACTGGACTACCCCACCACCCTGTTTCCATCGGAAACGTGTGGATGGCAGATGGGGCGAAGGAGGTAGGGGGGTATGGGTTTGTCCAGTGTGAGAGAACCATTACAACACACACTTTATGGGGGGTTGTCTTGCTTGTACTATGTAATATATTGTATGTCTATTTCCCATTTGTGCACATATATATCATAATTTAATTGCTTTCTGCAGGTGCTTGTTGGTAGGTCCAACTTTGAAGTTTGTTTTATCCATGATGCAAGAGAATAGAGTAGTTATTTTTCACGCTTTCAGGAAGGAACAGAGGTTTTGCGCTACTATGATTCTACTGTTGAATATATGGAAGCCAACCTAGCATCTTGTGAAGCAGTGGAAAGGGAGTTAACTCTGCAGGGCATGTCCATCTATGCTGTATTTATATTCACTGGGTTACCTAAACATTATAGTGTTTATGGTGTACAGTCATAATTTAATGCTTTGATTAATAATGTTTTGATTATGATATTCATAATAGTTTGCTTGCTCTATGAGTAATTACATTCATTACATTTCTAGGAAACATGAAATAGATTGCTGTGTTGATTGTTGGATCAGCATACCAGACTCGTGTCATCGAGTGAATGTTCAATTTGATACACTCTATTGAAAAGCCTCATTTTAGTAACTACCAAAAACAAGGATCTGGTATCCTCACAGGTAGACTAAGGCTTAGTCTCTGAATGCATATAATTTTGATAGTAGCAAATAAACCCATTCATATTGAAAAGGAGCCCCATCACCTGAACTTGAGGAAATCTAGACTTGCTTCATTTAGGGCACTGCAATGAGGGCTATGCAGTAGGGAAAATTATCTGGTTCTGGGACTGCAAGACAGACTATCTCAAGGGAGACAGGTGGGTCTTCTCAAGGGAGGGAGGAGTTTATCCTTGCAAGAGAGGGACGCTGTCTTCATGGAATTTGGAATTGTATCATAATTGATGAGGGAGAGCATCCCAACGGAGAATGGGGGTGGGGGTATCCTCATTGGAAGGGCATCTGTATTCAAGGGAGAGAAAGAGGTTATCCTCCTGGAAGATAAGGGGGGTTATTTTCATGGGAGGAGGAGGTTCTCTTGAGGGATGGTTTCCCTGATGGAAGAGGGGGGTTATTTTCATGGGAGGAGGAGGTTCTCTTCAAGGGATGGTTTCCTGATGGAATTGGAAGGGTATCTTCATGGCAGGGGAGGTTATCTTCATGGGAGGGGGAGGTTATCTTCATGGGAGGGGGAGGTTATTGCCATGGGAGGGGAGGTTATCATCATGGGATTTGACCCTGATGGAAGTGGAAGGGTATCTTCATGGGAGGGGAGGTTATCTTCATGGGAGGGAGAGGTTATTGTCATGGGGGGAGGTTATTGTCATGGGGGTAGGTTATTGTCATGGGAGGGGGTAGGTTATTGTCATAGGAGGGGAGGTTATCGTCATGGGATTTTACCCTGATGGAAGTGGAATTGTATCTTCATGGTAGGGGAGAGCCTATCCTCCAAGGAGAGGCATCCACCACACAACTTATACTGCTTGTGTTGGTGGTTGAGCTGAAGGGTTGTGAATCAGCTGGATGTGTAGAAGATGGTTCAGCATCACCAAGCACCTGGTTCATCACCAACCTTCCATCCTGTTATCACTACCCGTAACATAGTTCAACCTGACATCCATATCTTCCGAAACCTATCTCTACAAGTAAAACCTGTTTACCCAATCCTGACCCGGCTATTCCCAGCCATGCTGACATGACGGGTGTGCAGCACTCATCATCACATACCTCACCTCCAGCCATGCAGCTCAAACATGCTGCAGCCACAATCTTAATGACATGTTTAATCTCCATCACACCACCATGCACACACACGCACGCACGCGCGCACGCACGCACACACGCACACGCACACACACGCACACGCACGCACACACACAGACACACACACACTGTACATTAGTGGTGGTCCGATTAATTGAAATAATCGAAGATTGGTCGCAGTGACTTAACGACCAAGCAATTGGTCATGTTTTCTCATAATCGAACACAAACAATTCTGGAACACTTGTTGCATTAACAATATTTTTCACACGGTTGGTTTTGTCAGTTACATTTCATGAGCACTACAAGCACGTTCCAAGTCATGATTGAATTTATCCCAAAGAAGCCAAGATATTTATGTTCCTAACATACTAGTCATCCTTTCACGATGTGAAGTTTGCCACCAAAAAACACCCCAAAGAACTACATGTTTTGTCTTTATGTTTTTGTGCATTAACAAAAATAGCCAGGAAAAATTCATAAATGACGCTAACCAATTATTTTCGATGATTTATCAGTTGTAATGAAGCAATCATCAATTATGAGATTTTAACCAATTCCCAACACTACTGTACATCTGAATAATGCCCCATTCAACAGCGGCAAGAATGTCAACCTGGGTGATGCAAGGTCGGGGTCGATCATGCAGTAAGCGTAGTAGGTCACGGATCACTGACATGTTGAACTCATAACGTACAGATAATTTACTTTCCATTTCTATAATGTATGCATTATCATATCTGGCGTAAAAGGTCTAGTGGGGCACTTACTACTCATCTGACAGACTCCATGAAACAATCACCCCCTTTCTATTCTCATCCCCTCTTCAGCTTAGACTTACACATAGTCCCAGCAATAAAGTTTTCATATCATATACATGCATCTACAAAATCAAAAACAAATATCCAAATAGAGCCTATAACATTGAATTTTGAAGTATACCAAACTTTAGATTTACTATTTTATATATGACCTCTCCTGGGTCAGGAGACAGAATATTCACACTGTAAGCTTGGCTCTAACAGACTTGAAGCCTTTAATACTCACAAGTCCCCTTGTGGAACGATTTATATGTCACCTTATATCATGTTATAACCACTTTCTATCAGGGACTATATGCTTGTCTATGTCCTGACACGCTTTATGCCTTATACATGCTCAAAGGACACTTGACATGTTTTTAAGTGTTGATTTTGCCATTTACACAGTTTCAACAGTAAGCATGGTAAGTGAAAGTAAATATAAGTAATATACAATAAAACGGTGTGATCTGTAGAAGCTTGACCCCATTTACAGGCTTATGATCCCATGTTTTACATGAACGGGATATATCACAGCAGTACACTGGCAATGATTCCTGGACTCTGTGATGTGAACACTATAATGCTTTTAATTCCAATATTGGGGCGGTGGGGTAGCCTAGTGGTTAAAGTGTTGGCTCATCACGCCGAAGACCCAGGTTTGATTCCCCACATGGGCACAATGTGTGAAGCCGATTTCTGGTGTCCCCCCACCGTGATATTGATGTAATATTGCTAAAAGAGGTGTAAAACTAAACTCAGTCAGTCAATTCCAATATCAGCACAAAGTACAAGCTTTCAAAGGAATGTTAAACTTAAAGCTCTCTATAATTGTATTATAAAAACAGACAATCTTGAACCATAAAAATATTATTACTGATAAAAATAGTGAAAAAGGGTATGTCTATTGAGTTTGGTTTGCTATTGCTGTTAGTTTGTTTAACCTGTACCAAACAAGCAGGCACTGGTTTCATTCAGTACTAGTGTGAGGAAGTCATTCACTACAGGTGTGGTAGTTATAGTTAGGTGCAGTAGTGTAAGCAAACAGTGAAGTCTTATTGATGTGGCTTATCTGGCGGGATCAATACCACCATGTGTTGACACACAGCAGGAGGCACCACATTACCTGTGGTACCTGACCCCGTATCAGTCTCCAGGGCGTGAGTGAGTGAGTGAGTGAGAGGGAGAGGGAAAGAGGGCAGGGGGAGAGAGAAAGAAAAAGGAGGAAGAGATAAAGATATGGAGAGAGGAGAAAGGAAAAAAGGGAGGGAGAGGGAAGAAGGGAAGGGAGAGACAGCGAAAGAGAAAGAGAGAGAGAAAAAAGTGTAAGAGAGAGAGACAGAGGGAGAGAGAGAAAGAAAAGGGAAGAAGAGATAAAGATATGGAGAGAGGAGAAAGGAAAAGAGGGAGGGAGAGGAAGAGAGGGAAAAAGGGAAGAGAGAAAGAGAAAGATAGAGACAGAGAGAAAAAAAAGAGAGAGAGAAAGAAAAGGGAGGAAGAGATAGATATGGAGAGAGGAGAAAGGAAAAGAGGGAGAGGAAGAGAGGGAAGGAGGATAGGGAGCGAGAGAGAAAAAAGAGACAGAGAGAGAGAGAGAGAGAAAGAGAGAGACACTGCCTAACTACTAGTCAGAGGTAGCTAAGAATATACCATTCTTTAATATATCTCTCATGAATCTGTCAAGCCATATGAACAGTATATTTCCAGGATTTCATATAATTTGCCCCAACAACATCTTTTCTGGAAACACTAAGAATAGGAGTACCACACACACTACACCTGTACAGAAATCAAACCTAGAAATCAAAGCATGACTGGCACACACTTTACCATGGGGCCAAACCTCTCCTATCAGTGGCATGTTACTGTGACACAGTGTGGAATAAATCACCTAACATTGTCATACTATTGATTAGGTAAGTGTTTTTTCTATTTATTCAATATCTATGTACTGTGTTCCTTGCATCTGTCACACTGGGATCACAATTGGATTGCAACAGTTTATCCAGGCTGACATACTTTGTGAGATTTTGAGCAGACTGACTGACTGAGTTTGGTTTTACGCCGCTTT